ATCTAGAGTGATGGCTCCTTTTTTCTAGCATAATGTAAAACTGAACAATTTTAAAATGGTTACCAGTTAGTTATTAGGTAACAGAAATTAACTATATTCTATAGAGAAAAGGATATTCTTAGGATCCCTGTGAAAAGATGAACAAGTGCTGATCTGTGTGTGGTAGGATTATAGGTGATTTTGTTTTACTTTTATGTGCATGAATGCATTGCCTAAATTTTTAGAAAGAACATGCGTCGTGTTTATTATAATATAAACAAGAACATGAATCCTCAAAAAATGAAGTGTCTCCTTAACGTGCTTCATAGCTTTACAAGGAAACAGAATACACGGGACACGTTGCTGCTGTTTTTGCGGCCTCTGCTCTCTTCTGCAACCCTTGCTTCTCTGTTTCTCTCCTCTACCTTTTTTTTTTTTTTTCTCTTTCAAAACGTCACTGGTGGCAGCCTTGGCCTGAACTTGGTGAGATGTGGTTCACATTTGCACAAAGGTGGAATGCTTCCTATTGGATATTTCAAGTATTTACGCGTCGGTATCCTTATTACCACATCTCTGCTAATCTGGACTCCTGTCCATCATTGACCAGCTCCTCCTCATGGTCAACGTGTCCCAAAGTCATGGAGGCAAGGATACTGGAGAGGATTTCTAGGGAAGCAGTTTATCCTAAAAGGGGAATGTCAGAGTCAGTCATTTATTTGCTTCCAGACACATGATACCAGCTTCTCCTAAGGAGGTCGAGTGGCTGGTTCAAACTAAAATGAAGGAACCCAGCCAGACTCCCACATGCCTCCCTCCAACAGTCAAGTGTGTCCTGAGCCATCCTCTGAAGCATGAAAGCAACACCTCTGTCCACGATGGGGCTGAGAAGAGTCCACCCCATAAAATGTTGTTGATGGGCTAGTCCTTCTGAGTTCCACTCAATGGGCCTTTCATTCCTATGAAAGTTAGCAAATCCTCTTAAATAGCAATGCAATATTGAAGGTTTTTTTCATGGGTCTACTTATACATACTGAGGAAAATTGGTACACTAGTCTAATAGTATTAAAGACAATCTAGAAAAAGACATACTGACACTTGGAACACACTATCCTTCTGCATTCATAACAGCATCAGGGGACTGTGGTCTTCTGTCTTGATCATGAGGTTAAACTGGCCAAATCAATTAAATTCAACAAACAGCTAGTGGGTGCCTAATAATTTAAGGTACCATGCTGGCGGTTTGGAGAATGCAACTGGAATGAAACATGATCCCTGTCTTCAAGGTGCCTAGAAAGGAACTGTGATATAAATGCTCTTCTCCTGGACTATAGCTCAGCACAAAAATAATGTTTGCTTCCATTCATTAGATTATTTTATTTTAGCTGATGTTTATTCTCATCCCCTTCTTAAAAATTTCAGTAACTTGGTCAGGTGTGCTGGCTCACGCCTGTAATCCCAGCACTTTGGGAGGCCGAGGCAGGCGGATCACGAGGTCAGGAGATAGAGACCATCCTGGCTAACATGGTGAAACCCTGTCTCTACTAAAAATACAAAAAATTAGCCAGGCATGGTGGCGGGCACCTGTAGTCCCAGCTACTTGGGAGGCTGAGGCAGGAGAATGGTGTGAACCTGGCAGGCAGAGCTTGAGTGGGCCAAGATCACGCCACTGCACTCTAGCCTGGGCGACAGAGCGAAACTCTGCCTCAAAAAAAAAAAAAAAAAAAAAAAAATCGGTAACTTGCAAACTGCGTTATCCATACATTTTAAGCAAACTTCTATGTGTTCACTGGTGCCATTCATTAATGTCTTCACCCAACAAATATTTATTTGATGCTACTATGTGTCAGGAATGATCTAGAAGCTTAGAGATGTAGTGGTGAACATGGTATGTGTTCAACATACATGCACACATTTTTATTACACAGTTGACCCTTGAGCATCACAGGTTTGAAGTTCACAGGTCCACTTACAGATGGACTTTCTTCCACCTCTGCCGCTCCTGAGATAGCAAGACCCACTCCTCCTCTTCCTCCTCCCAAGCAGCCTACTGAATGTGAAGACTACAAGGATGAAGACCTTTATGATGATCCACTTCCACTTAATGAATGGTAAATGTTATTTTCTCGTCCTTATGATTTTCTTAATAACATTTTTTCTGTAGCTTTTTTTTACTGTAAGATATAATATATAATACATATGACACACAAAATATGTGTTAATTGACTATGTTATTAGCAAGGCTTCTGGCCATCAATAGGCTATTAGTAGTTAAGTTTTTGGAGAGTAAAAAGTTGTAGATGGCTTTTGGACTGAGGAGGGTTAGTGACCCTAACCTTTTCATTGTTCAAAGGTCAACTAGATACACATACATATGTGAATATGTACATATATGTATATGTGTGTATATCTATACATGTCTGTATGTATATGTATGTACACGTATATGTATATATGTGTGTATATATGTAACACACATGCACTCAAACATGCACACATAAATCTTTCTTATTAGAAATTAATAAGAGCTGTGAAGAGAAAGCAAGCAGCACGAGAGGTCAAGAGACCCAGGAGCTCTTCTGAGATGGGGTGTGGCAGGGAAGCCCTTCTGAAAACTTGGCATTTGAATGGAAGCTTACAAAGGTCTTGAAGGAGACCACCAAGCCAGGCTTCCCATCAAGTGCAAAGTCCTGTAGCAGAATGAGGTGGGGGCATCTGGAGAGCACCAGAAAGGCCCATGTGGCGGTGGCAAAGGGGCTGAAGGGTGAGTGGTGGGTGTGAGATGAGGGCTGACCCGGAGTCAGGCTCCAGACCAGAGGGGCTCGTAAGCCAGGGTGAGTAGTATGAGCTACTTTCCAATTGTGGAGAGCTTTGAGTCTAAAAAAAATTTAATCTGACTTTCATTTAAAAAAGATTACTCTGACTACTTAGTGGAAAACATCTTGTAAAATAAGTTAAAGGAAATGATTAATATCTGCTCCATTATTTCAGTCCGAGGTCCAAATTATTTTGCACAACCATACTAACTCTTTCCCAGTTTTAATACGTTGACCGTAATTTGTCAATACAGTTACTGTTATCAAAGTGCAATTTCCACCTAGAAGATATAAGTAAAAACCACATAACAACTAGAGGTTCCCAACGGTGAGCTCCTGTCGCTAGAGGTGTACAAAGAGCTGATTCACTGCTAGGGCATTGTAGGACTAATTTCTACCTTTGGGGACACTAAACTTGGATACCTCTAAGATCTTGTCTTTTTTGAGAGTTGCTAGTTCTCTGGATTTCTTTGCCTTCTATTTAATAATATAGATGGCACACGATTCTGGGTTTAAGATAAGACATGGAGCGTTTAGTGGATATTGTGTTGGGCTCTCCACATCTCGTTAGGACTCAAACACTTCTTCCATCAGCTGCTGGTCATGGCAGTAGCAGATCAGCTGCCAGCCTCTCCCGAACAGGTCCCTGGCTGGAGAGAGCAGCCTAGCGCCTCTTCCTGAGGAATCCTATATCAGACTTTGGTTAGTGTAGGGGAATAAAGACCTAACCCCCTTGTCTCAGCTGGGGACCGCATTGAAGGGCCTTTATCTCCAGAGCTCCGCAAGGTCAGCTGGACTCTTTTGAGGCCGGCTTCTCCCTCCCAGTCCTGCCTTGTTCCCATTCCTTCCTCCATGTGGGTCCCCATAGGTATCCTCACTCAGTCTCCTGCCCCATAAGCTCAGGTTCTGTGTCTGCAGCCTGGGAAACCCCAGTAGAACTATTGTGTAAGAAAATAGGCCAGTCGCAGTGGCTGGTGCCTGTAATCCCAGCACTTTGGGAGGCCGAGGCGGGCGGATCACGAGGTCAGGAGATCGAGACCATCCTCGCTAACATGGTGAAACCTGTCTCTACTAAAAATACAAAAAATTAGCTGGGCGTGGTGGCAGGTGCCTGTAGTCCCAGCTACTTGGCAGGCTGAGGCGGGAGAATCGCTTCAACCCAGGAGGTGGAGGTTGCAGTGAGCTGAGATTGCACCACTGCACTCCAGCCTGGGCAACAGAGTGAGACTCCACCTCAAAAAAAAAAAAAAAAAAAAAAAGTAAAAAGAAGAAAAAAAAAGAAAATGCCTTTAATGTCATGTACGCAGAAGCCCAGGGCTCTTGTTAGAGTCTTGAAGGGGCCATCGTCACATCTGCCTTGGGGGACTACCCGCCAGTGAGCTGTCTCACACTGTGTTCAGAGAAAGGGGCTGCTCTGGAAATTTCCAACCACGCTCCATGGAGGGATCAGTGTGTGCACAGTGCTGGGCACACCTCGGTAGCTCAGTCAATATGGACTAAAAATTAAAAACATAAACTGCAAACCTTTACCCTGTCCTTGGATTTGGAAGGCCCTGTAGACCATTCTGAGCCACAGAGCACACGTGGGCGCTGGGGACAAGACCAGCTCTAGAGGTGAGGGATGACCTCTGCAGATTCTCTGTCAGAGGGCTATGTGAGAAAGAGATAAAAACAGACCTATAGTCCTGCCACGTGCTCTGCAAACTGCAAAGGAAAACCGGGCTATCCAGCAAGGGTGACCGAGAAAACAGCAGCACTGTTACAGAAATTCAGAAATCATTTAAAAGACAGAAAACGTTACTTTCTCAAATATCGTGAGCAAATGCTGCAAAGCATGACTTCACCTACCCCCGATTTTATATCTTCCTCTGATATTTTATCATCATACTTTTGTGGCTTCCTTTGAAGTGTTTTGATAAGATATTTTTTTTTCCAGGTATCTTCCATATGCATCAGCTTATTGGCATCAACGAGTTAGATAATACATTTAGCTACAGTACAGAACTACATTAAACATAATATGTACGGTATAAAGGTCACTGGAACCAAGTTGACATTTTATTGTATTTCAGCATAAAAATACAGGGCAACTTTTGTGGACATTATTATTAATTTGAATTCTGTACATGCAAAGGCATCCAAATATACCGTCTTAAAAGAATAAATGCTCAGTCAATGCACAATAATTTTTGGATCAAAGCTCATTACCTCCATGCTGTCCATGAACTGGGTGGGCCACTCTGACCATTAAGTTTTTCCAAGAGGTGAAATGGTTCAGTGGCCCAGGCTTGGGAGGTTCAGCTGAGTTCAGATCCTGGTCTTCTTCTCCCCAGCTGTATGGCTTCAAGCAAGTCACTTAGTTTTGACGGCTCAGTTTCCTCATCTGTAAAATGGAGATGGAAAGCATCGTACCTAACTTATAGAGTGGTTTTGAGAAGTTAATATACATCAAACACTTTGAACAGTGTCTGGCACTTAATAAGCTGTAACTAGCTGTTCTTATTCAAATGGATTTTCTCCCCTGAAAAAAATGCATTCAAGATATTTTGAGGGAGCCTGTGTCCCATGTACCAGACATGGTTTCTCCCATTTGGCAATGTCACTGAAATGATATGTGAGGACCAGGCATTGTGCCAAGGTAAGGCAGACATCCACTACCCATGCAAGTGTCCATGGGTTTTCTGCCATTTCTAGCTATGGGATTCATTTATCACAGCTTTGGGGAAATACTTTACCTATTTTATTCCTCTTGTCTGTAAAATGGACACAAAATACTTGCCTATTTAGAGTTCAGTGCAAAATACTTGCTGAATAATTAGCTTACACAGTGTCTAGTATGAAAGAATATTGGGGCCGGTCATGGTGCCTCACACTTGTAATCCCAGCACTTTGGGAGGCCGAGGCAGGCAGATCACCTGAGACCAGGAGTTCCAGAACAGCCTGGCCAACATGGTGAAACCCCGTCTCTACAAAAATACAAAAATTAGCTGGGCATGATGGTGGGTGCCTGTAATCCCAGTTACTCGGGAGGCTGAGGCGGGAGAATCGCTCGAACCCAGGAGGTGGAGGTTGCAGTGAGCTGGGATTGCACCGTTGCACTCCAGCCTGGGCGACAGAGGAGACTCTATCTCAAAAAAAAAAAAAAAAAAAAAAGAAAAAGAAAAAGAAAAAGAAAAAAAGAAAGGATATTGGAGGTTGGAGGTGAAAAGTAACCTTTGTTACCATCTGCGCTGGAGTTTGGCATACTTCACGAGGGGCTTGCAACAATCTGTTGAAGCGCTATTATGGCATCTGTACTTGGGCATTGACAGGTTGGTCTTACCCACTGGATCCCAGTCATGCTGTAAACGGGGCTTGCTTTGGAGTCTGTCAGACCCGGCTTAGACCCAGGCTCTGACAAAGTGGGTGAGTTATGCAGCTATTTGGTGGCATCTAACACCCTATCCTAAAGGTCTGCTGTGAACAGGAAGGAGGCGTCAAATTTGCAGTGCCTGATGAGGTGAGGCCAGGACCCAGGAACTTCTATTCCCTCCCATGCTCAGAAACAGTAAGTGTTGTTCTATCTGCAAAGCTAGATGCTTAGCACATCCTGGGTACTTTACTCATGATTGCTAAACTTGAATTTGTGAGAAGTCATTTCAAAAGTCAGATCTAGGACCAAAAACACAATATCTGTCAACATGAACTATAGATCACAGTTTTCCTCCAGCCCAGGAGTCTCCTTTCAGTAATCGCTTCTTCTCCAAATGTCTTCATTCCCTAAATAAAACAAAGAGGTAAGAGATTTGTTCATTTCAATTCCCACAACATAGCTTACAGTCAAGGACCGGAAGAGTTTTCCAATTTTAGGTATGTTATTTCTCTGTTCTCTGAAATGGGTACGATACTAAAGAACTTGCTAGGATTTAGTGGAAAGTACTTTCTCAACATTTGGACTGTGCATTTTATTTGAATCACGTCTCTCACATTCAAATTTGTTAATGTTAACGTCAGAGAGTAAATGACTAGAGAGTCAGGACGCATGTCCACAAAGAGGTACTCTTATGGGCTCTGGGGGGAAATAGTCATTATAACAACATCCAAGGGCAGACAGGAACATTTATAGTCATGGATTAATTATCCTTTTCATGTCTCAAGTTTACATCACTGTGAAAATTCTTCCTCTAAGGTTAGGTGGCAGCTAATGTGAATCCTAACTCAGGTGCTGGATATATTTATTACGGTGGTCTTTCTTTACTGTTTCTACACAAAGTCGAGTGGACATGGACATCCAGAATACTACACATTCTGAAGCAATAAAATCTAATATGCTGTAATATTATTTCCTGCTTCTGTTTAAGATAGATACTTAAACGCTAAGTTACATTTTATTTAATCCTTAATTTTTTAAAATAATGATTTATCTCTACCGCATTCTCACCCCCCTCACACTTTTTGAGTCCACCTCGCTGGATTTTGTGAAAATAGATCCTTCACACACAACAGAGAAGGAACTTTCTGGAAGGCTGTGCTCTGGAACTGCCGTCTTCTCTCTCAAGTCAAGTACATTTCTGTCTTTCTTAAAGCTACAAAACTACAACAATGTTTATATTCATATGAAGTATTTCAGCAATTCATAGCCAATTTATCAATGACCACGCAGCTGCAGGCACTGCAGTTTAAAAAAATATACCAGCTCGCTTAGTGTTTACATAGGCTCTGAAAGCCCCACATCCTAGCAGGGGGACGGGAGCCACCGGAGTCATTAGAAAGGTACGCTGGAGCGCCTGCCTGTGATGGTGGAGGGATGTTTGCCTTATAGCCCAACACATCATTAAGGACACAATTGTTATTTAATGTGGCACAATCATCTTTCTACTCTTCATGAAATCCACTTAAGTAATTACCTTCTTAGCTCATTGGCTCCGTGAGCTGCCTGGTTAGAAAGGGTTATATCTAAGGAAATATTAAAAACCGGGCTCACACTGTTGCCCCTTTAAGCTGACTTGTATTTATTAATATATTCTAAATGAAGATCTTTCTTCCTGCCCTGAAAGAGGGAGGAAACTCCAAGGTAAATAAATGCTCTGGAGCATTGGCAGGGTTTAAAGGGAATAAGAGCACATTAGCCAAAGTCTCCTCACTGTCAGCCATTCTTAACAAAGCAGCTGATACCTGCATAATGCCTGGCCTCTTTGTAGTTTCAGTCTGACATCTGTTTTAGCCAATCAATTTTTCATTAAAGTCAAAATGCTGCTTTAAAATTTGCCTTGGCTTTCTCTTTTTAAGACAAGAACAAATTTATGACGAAAATATTCCTTTACAAAACTCGGTGCAATAGCTTACTAAGCTGTGTGGATCTTCATAAGTGCCATAGTTTTGAAGACTCACTTTGAATAGTCTAGATATTAAGATGGAAGGTTTAAAGAACCCACAGAACTTATTTTCAGAGCACATTTAAATGTCTTTTAAGCAGATTTTTTTTTATTATGACGTGTCCAAGATGAGCTCGCAGAGATTCAGCATCATTTAAGGAGAGCAGAGCCGAAGTACAGAATTGAAATTACTTGAAAACACACATCTGCATTTTAAACTTTAAGCTCCCTTTCAAAATACACTGTACAATCCATGTTTACTATAAATACTGCGAGGTAAGTCTGAAATACCTTTATCTTATTTGGTGGATCTGCGTTTGAGCCTCTTTGTTTGAACAGAAGTGTCAGCTGTATTTTACTTTATTATATAAAAAAGTTTCAGAATTTAATTAAGGGTCAAGTACCAGCAGTAGATAAATGCAACAGCTAAAGCATATTTCTGATCACTCTGAAGTCTGCAATCATGAAAATTATTATCATTGAGTAAAACTGGTCTCAATGATGGTGACTGGGAGATGGAGTCTGTGTTACTCAGCCATCATTTACATAATAATGGGTTCCAGTTTTCATCAGCACCTTTTGTTTGTACAGTGCTTACTGCTACAGTAAATTGTCAAAATGTCATTCCTCTCCAATCAGCCAGAAAATATCAACAGTAAACAAGGCACAGGAAGAAATTCTCTGATTAGGAGTGTGGCAGAGGAAGAGTAGAGCTGAAGTCCCCATGATCGCTTGAAACATGTTATTCTGGTGTTCCCAATAATACAGTGGTACAGACTATGAAAATTACTTCTCTCTCTCGCCACCTCCACCCAGCCCCTTTAATGAAGAAATACCACTCTGCTTCCAAGGTCACCAGGAAACCTCAGGACGATCACTGGGGATTAATTGATTTACATATGTATTTGTCAGTTTTACTGTGTTCCCTCTTACTGGGGATCAGCCTCTCCTTTTTTTTCCGGCAGGGTATTGCAGATTAAATGGGGCCAGATTCTCCTACAGTGTTCTTGTCCCTGCTTGGTTCTCTGACTCCTGGCCAGTGGGGTTTCAGAGAATAAAGGAGCTGTGGAGAAGAATTTGGCCCGTGCCCATGCTGCTATCACATGGGGCAGTGTCAGAGAGGCTCCCGTCAGCTGACTCGCCAATAATCTTCTTGTTTCAGCTGAATTGTTGCCAGAGCAGGAACTCAGGAGCTGGGGAAGAGCCCCAGGCGGCAGCAAAGTCTTCCACTCTTCGCCTTTCTACTTGGCCATCACTTGAACTCAGAGACCAGGGACTAGGAAGGAGGAGAGCCAACTCCACATCCAGCATTTAGGGCACCGAGCCGAGTGCCCAATGACCAGTTCTCTCTCTTTCTGCTTTCCCTGAACCCCAGGCCACTCTTCTACAACATTTTAAAGTCTGAAAGAGACATGAAATCAACAACTCTTCCTGTTCCTCAGTGAAATCTCCCCAGGACTAGGAAAGGATGAGGATGAATTAGTACAGTATATGCCTTATAACCATTATAGTTACAAAGTATATTAAAATTAAAGACTTCACATTGTGTCTGAAATAAAAATGAATATAGTGGCATCCTGCCAAGAGTCCCAGAAACCACTCTTGTGTGGAATTGAAGCATTTGGCTCATATAATACTTAATTTATTTTTATGAAATGACAAGTTATATAAATGTATGTTTAAAACAGAGGGGCACAACGTTTTTTTGGTAAGGTTTTTTTTTTTCCTTTTTTTTTTTTTTGTATTCTGGCATATATAGCTACATGGTTGGGACTTATTTCTAAACAGAACAAAAAAGAATATGTTTTTCCAAAATGGCGTTTTAAAGGTATATGTTCCCCAGATATTTCAAAATATGATCACGCAGTCAGGTTGCTCATGGCAAGGCTCACAGTACCTTCACTGGAAATGAATAGGAGTTTTAAGATCTATTGAAATGAAGTGTTGACATCAGGAAATATTTTGTACTGCTTTCAGGTTTCTTACCATGCACTTTATTTTGCTTGGCTACTTTTAATTTTTTTCCCCCACTTCTCTTTGAAAATCCGACATTGTCCAAACCCTTTCGGTTAAGAAGCGTGCCTGAATGAAAGCTCCGTGCTGCTGTGGTGGTGCATCAGTAAACAGGGGGCCCGAGGAGCGGGCAGCGCGCGGAGAAATAGGGCTGATCAGCGGTAATTACCCTGACACCTCATGCAGTACAGGGAATTAACTCCTAGGACTTTGGGCCGAATGAAGAAGAAGTTGATGTTTCACGTTGTGAATGCATCAGTGCCTGAACCCATTACCAGTTTAAACGGAGATGGGAATTTACTATACACTTTTTTTTTTTTTTTTTTTTTTTTTTTTTTTTGGTTGGGAATGTAGACCGGTGTGCAGAGAATGAGAAAGTAATTCAGGATGCAGAAGGAACCACAATTTGTATTTTTATTAAGGCTTTTGCCTGCTGCTTCTATATCATATCCATGACACATAGATACAAGAGAAGGTCCATGGCAACCATTGTCTTGAAAAGAAGGAGCCCGTTGTCTTAAAGAAGAGGTTAGTGTGTCACCAAAGTAGGTGAAGGTATTCCACGGCAGACCCATAGAAAGGAAAGTGCTCGAAAACACAGAGCAGGAGGGGAAACACAGCTCAAAAGGCAACTAGTTAG